AGTTGATTAGTTTTAAAGTTTTTTTTTTAATAATTTTTGATATTTATTTTGAATTTTTGGTAATTTTGGTAATAAATTTGATAATTTAGTAATAAATAATCTATTCATTTGTTGTTGATTTTTTTTCTTATGAACTTTGATTAATGATAAAGTGTTATTTAAAATTTCATTACAATGGATATCATTTGTATTTCCATTTTGTATTCAGAAGTTTTAGCTTTAAGAATCTTTATTCATTAAATTGGTTTTAAAATCGAATCTTATATTTTTTATTTGTTATATTTCTTCAAATTTATCCTGTCTTTAATTTGTTAATTATATTGTTAAGTTGGTTTGTTGATTTAATTGATTTTTTTATTTTTTAAAATAATTTGGCATTTGTTATAAGAAAAATTAGAATGGAGACCTAAAGGAATAACATTTTTTACAAAAATTAACTTTTTTAAGTAATATGTGTTTTAATTTATTTTTACAAATCGGTAAAATTTTATAGGGAAAATGACAAGAAAATGACTGTTGAATTCTGAAATGACAAAATGGGCATGTAAATTACTGAAATGACAAAATGGGCATGGGGTATCAATCTGGAATTTGGATAATTCGCCAAAAAGACTGAAATGCCCTCAATTTTTTCGGGAATCAGAGGGCGGGATATTGTGCAACGGAACTGGAGTTTGGTTGGCGGTTCTCCACTCGGCGAAACTGCATAGACCATAGGGTTCTCCGAACTCTCACATTGCACTCGGCGAAACTGCATATGGTTGTCGCAAGTCTCACATTGCCATGGTTGAGGAACTGTGAACGAGGAATGTGAATAGCGTCCGGCTTCTTCGTCTTTTCCGTGGGTCGCAGTGAGAAGCAATAAACCAGTGAGAAGCTTCAATCTTCAGAAGGGAGAGGGGGTGGCTAGAGAGAGAGATTCGAGGGAGAGCACCTGTAAGGTCGTCACCGGTTGAGGAAGAAGTCGATATTCGTTCCGACCCCGGTAAGCCACCCAAATGTCTCCGTCTTGTGCTTGTCTGATTGGAGTGTTTTAATTTGGGGAAAACGGTGAATGTTGGTTGTAAAGGGGAAGCAATGGTAAAGGCTTAAAATGGAATGTAAAGGTAGATTAGATTAAAAGTCGGTGCTTCTGTGTGTGACGGAATTACAGAAGTTGCTTGCTTGCTCTGATTCATATAACTCGGTCCATGTTTGACGAGATATCTCTCTGATTGTTGTTGTCTGATTGCTGTGTTGCTGTAATGTTGGAAGGCATAATATACGTGTGTGTTTATGATTGCTACACTACTTTTTAGATGCCCATAAATTGAGACCACTGTCGCACATGAGCCAGTGGATGCTTCCTGTTTCCGCCCCCTTGTTTGGTCTGTTCGTGTAATGGACATTGCACATTTTTAGCATTGTGTATGGGACTAAAATGAGTTCAACTGTATCCCCATATTGGTTATGCAAATTTAACATTGTAAAATAAATTGAAAGGGGTGACTTTTCGTGGGTAGAACTCTGTTTTGAAGATATAGCTACCTAATGGGCATAACCTCAGTCATTTAGCGGTGCAATTTACCTGGGGATGAACATGCATATTCATTTCAGTATGTACCAAGTGAGAATAACCTTTGTGGCCTTCTTATGTATTGCTATTACTTGGTCATCTGTGGTCATCTGTGGCACTGTGTAGTAGTAATTTCCATAATATAAGTTACTTGAAGATGCAAATTTTGTAACATTTCATCGAGAAAGAATCACTTTTGATGCATATTCATTTATTTTTAATTGTTGGTCTGAGGATTGAAGAGGAGGTAGAGGTCGCTGAAGTGCTGAGAAGCATCAATCGCATTGCTGTCATGGAGGAGGTTGGCGAAGTAACTGTGACTGCGACAAACGGTAATATGCAGTTGTAATAGGAATTAAGTGGTTGAGTTATATAGGTTTGGTAAGATTAGATTGTTTTTAGTTTGTTGTTAAAGTGTATTATGTCGTTAGTCTCTATTTTCTGCTCTGTTCTGTGAAGTGAGAAAGAAGCAATAACATTCATTACGTGATCAGCAAATTTAGTTATCTGAGTAGTAAATAGTCGAGGTTCATTTTGTGGCTAAATAACAACACCTATAATGTGAATGACTACACTGGAAATGGTAATGACAACTTTTTTGAAATGCAAAGAAAGTTGAGCTGTTCAACTGACCAGATTTAGTTATTTATGCTTGTTGTAGAAGGAGGGCCAAGTGAAGAAGTGAAGAATGGCTACATGTTGTTTAGACGAGAATTTCTTAAGGGTGGGAGAAGTTTAAGAATATGTCTGAACAAGTGAAAAAGGCATCAAAGGCATGGAAGCAGTTGACACCAGAGGAGCAGAAGAAATACAGTGATAGGGTGAAGCAATCAAGAAAGGAAGGGATGAAGAAGAAGAGGAAGAAAAAAGTGGCTTTTAGCACTCGTTGCTCGGTTCGGCAATTTAAGTCATTAGTGGACTTCATAAAAGATGATGAAGATTTGAAAGTGAGGGTACAAAATTTAGGCTTTGGCCATTTACTTGACATTGGATGTGAGAGACTCCCTCGTGACCTCATAGTATGTGTTCTCCGAGCATATGATCCGCCTACCCATCAATTTCTAATAAGAGGGATAATAAAGGAAATAGAAGCAAATGATGTTGCAAACTTGTTGGGTGTACCCCACACAGGGGAGAAGGTAAAAATGGACGTATGTGATGATGATGAGACATACCAGAGGTTGAAGGAGGAATTTGGTAAAGTCCCTTATACGAAGATACTCAATGACATTAAATCTGGGCAGAAGAAAGATGAGTTTGAGTTCTGTTTATGTACACACTTGGGAGTTTTTTAACTCCTACTTCACAAACAACTGTGAGTGACAAGCTAATAAGAGTCATGTGCTGTACCATGAAGGGATTTCACCAATTTGATTGGGCCACGTACATTGTGAAGCACTTGTGGAAAGAGATGGGAGATTATGTGAAAGTGTACACAAAAGCAAAGAAAGACGAAGATGAAGATGAAGGAAGCTGCAATGTGGGAGGATGCATCTACCTCCTGTTGGTATGTATTTCTGACTTATGCTTCTAAGTTATTGTTTTCTTTATTTGTGGAATTGGCAAGTTAATGATTTACTGTTGTAGTTATATTTTGCTGAGCACTTCCCACTATCCAAAACTGTTGAGAGAGGGTCCCTAAATGCCATTCAATTCTGGACTGATGAGAGGATAAGGAAGCTGGAAAAGAAGGAGAGGGAAAGCAAGAGGGGTTTACTGTATAAGGGCAAGGGAAGTATGGATAGAAGTGGGAAGGATGAAGGAAAACGCAGAAGTGTGGGTCATTTACACCCGGTATGTGCTTTTGTTACTAATTTTCATTCTCATTAGCAAATAATCTCATGAAAAAAGTGTTTACTCATTTTAAATTGTTTGCTGCAGGAGTTACAGAAGTTGCACGGACGATTGATGGCTCAGATCGAATTAAGCACTAGGAGGCTTATAAGTGCAATGGAAGATGAGCTAGATAAGGTGCAGATAAGGATAAGGAAAATAATGTGACCACAGATGATGAGGACCCTATTGACGTCCCAGATGATGATAAGGGAGATGATGATGCATTTGGCGATGAAGACCCCCATGATCATGATGGACATGAGTCTGATGACGAAGGTGATGATAGAGATGAGTTCCACTGGGGAGATGATCAGGGAGACGATGATGCAACTGGCTCAGATAGGGGTGATGACATCGGTGTTGCAGCAGAAGGTGCAGACAAAGAAATTATGGAGTCTCCCCTGCCCTTTTCCCCCATGGACAAGGGATGTCAACTCCGGAGATCGCAAAGGGAGATGAAATCTGCTATCAATTCTCCATGGATTTTGACAAAGCCAACTAAGAGGCGAAAGAGGCCCATGGATGACAAGGACTGGTTTTATGACATAGTTTCCCGTATGTGTTCAAGCAAGGAGGGTGACATGTATGTACATATCCACTACCCACATAATCATATTCATTACAATTTTGTGCTAATTGACTACATGCATAATGATATTGACAACATATTTTTAGGCCTTTGGTGAAAATCTCTGATGAAGATATCACTCGGGATCAGCTAAGGACACTTGGCGGAATTGAGAAAATAGGTAACCAGGTAAGTAGAATATTTGTGATGAGGTCATTTAATTGTTTAGTAGATGCTGCATTTTGGGTTCATCAAAACAATAATCTCTTTGCGTACAGCTGATGTCAACTGTGTGCAAGACTCTAATGGCTGATATGGAGAAGGAAGGGCAGGTGAAGTGGCACATTTTTTATGCTGATTTTATGGTAAGCTTGCTGAGATGTTAGTTTTTTGTTGATTGATATTGATAAATGACTAAAATGTTCATGTTTTAGGCAATAATGGCAGCTAACCCAAAGCTGTGGGATGCTACAAAACGGAAGAAACAATTTTTACCTGAAAATATAGGCTACAACATAGGAGAATGTGATTTGATCTTTGGACCCACACTTGTTGGCGCTCACTGGTTCTGTGTTGTGCTTAAGCCTAGCACAATGAATTCCTATGTGCTGGACTCAATGAAGCCAAATTTAGAGGGTAAGAAGAAGAGCAAGAAGAAGGGTGTAATTATTGATGACATGACAACCGTGGTCACTAAATGTGTAAGGATAATGCAACTCATCTTCTATGATTGACATTTCATTTACCTTTTATTTACAATTGCGTAATGATATTGTGCAGAGGAATAGATTTTATGACATTATTGAGATAGTTAAGCCTAATGCCACTGGGAAGAAGAAAATGAGTGATATCATTTGGGCTCCTGAAAGAGAGCCTTTCTGTCGTTCGCCTTGGGGTTCTCAATCAAAATTTAATCCAAGCTATGCAGTATAGTGCAAACTCGGGTCGTTTCACTTTGGAGCCTTTATAATTACTTAAGCTAGGACCAAATGCCATGCAATGCAATGAAATGGGATTTTGGGTTTTTAAGACTTAAATGAATGGTGCCTAAACTGAATGCAATGAAAACAAACCTAAGATACTATATTTTTGGTGTTTTAAGATAATAATGATAGAATGGAAATGAATGATAGGAAGTCTCTTGAAATGGTTTTGATAGCAATCATAGTTCACTTAAAATAATGGGAATTCACCAAATCATTAGGTTTTCTTAATAAGAACCTCATTACTCAATGAGTCCAGCTTACATTAATGAACTCATTAATGTAAACTTTGTTTAGCTTCCCTAATGTGTAAATTGGAATGAAATGCAATTGGCTTAATGAAAACACACAATCAACTCAATACCCAACACAACTATGCAAGATAGGTGAGAATCATGAGAGAGACATTAAGCATATATGCAGCTACATATATTTAAGCTCATAATTCAACATCCATCAATCCAAAATACACAAAAGATAACCAGTAACCACTGATTACAGAATTAATCAAAGTATCTAAACTAAGAAATTACAATTCCTAAACCTAGAAAATCATAAATGCTAGCTAAAAACTGAAGATTAAAACTAAACTCCCCTTTGAAGCTCAAGAACTCATGCTACACCACCATTCTTCAAGATTTGATAAACCCTAGCTCTCCATAGCTTCAAGAAAAGCTCCAAATGAAGTGAATCCGTCGGCCATGGTAGCTGGGAGTGGAAGGAAATGAGATGAGAGTGAAGGAAAGGAAAAGATGAAGGAAATGGATGGGGAAGAAGATGGAGATGGAGAGGCAAGAGGATGGGAGAATAGAGGTGTTGGAGGAGATGGAATGGGGTGTATGTTTTGAAAATAGGGTTTCTAAGGGTTTAGGGGTCCATCTGGGTCGGATCATATGATTAGAAGCTCCATTTCGCGTTCTGATCCGGATCTGGCGTGCTTGATACGAAGAGTTCACCGCGGCGAAGCATGCCTGAGAGGAGCTCCGCCTAATCTTGTGATTTCGCCACGGCGAAGCTGTGTAAGTTGGCCGCGGTGAACTCTGCCTGAGAGATTACTGGTGAGATTTCAATTGGCGCCGCGGCGAACTCTATTAATGCGGCTGATACTCTGATCTTGTGTTGTGTCATCTTTGGCCTTTGATCTTGGCTCCAATTCTCAATTGTCCTACAATAAAAAGCAACAGTTTGAAGCATCAATTGTCCTAGAAATCAACTAAATACAATTAATAACCAATTATGGACAATCTTAACCTCAAAAAGACACTAACTCAAAGCAAAGGACTATTAATCTAAATTAAGCACAATTATCATCAAAAGGAGCCAAAATCTATGATAAATACCCTTAAAATGATATGAAATAACATAGAATAATGGGCTAAATCAGCTCCTATTCCGCAACAAAACAATCTGTGAGTGGTTTATGTTGTTGATATTATTACGTCTCCAAGCAGCCCAATGTGTTATTTTCATTCTTTTTACATCGTTGGGATGTTTTGATGTGCAGGCGAGACTGCGGCGTTCATGTACTAATATGGTTGAGTAAATGGAAGACCGGTGAGATACTTCACTATACAGATGAACAAGTGGCTGAATTCCAACGAAACCTCATGTGGTGGCTAGTGAATCATGAGCTTAATTCAAGACGTGATGAAGCATTAAGCTTGCTTTCATCAACCCAAGCCACCACACTGACCAAAAGACGCCATCTGTGATAGGAGGAGACATTATGTAGATTAGGCATATAGTATTTATAAAAGGAGTGTTAGTTTGAAGTCTTAATTTTTGACTTATGGTTGGAGGTACTAAGTGGCTACCAGTTGTTGGCCTAATTGCAATCTTTTTTTGGGATAATTTGAGTAAAAAAGTTATGGTATTTACAACATGCCATGTGACTTCTGTGATGATAATCACAAGATGATTATTTGTGCCCCAACTTACATCCACTTGGACCCAGGTTCACTACACAAGTAATAGGATTAACAACTTTCGGATTGAGAATTGCAACCTCTGTAATGATAGTTACCACATCGCTATTGCCATTTGCATCTGAAGTCTTTCAAGCCCAAATCACATTTTTTGAATCCATTTTCGCTACTACCCCAGTAATGATAATGACAACATTCGTAATGAACATTGCAACTTTTTTAATGATTGTTACCACCTCGCTATTGCTTTTTGCAACTGCATTTTCGTCCCCACGTATAAATTGTCACAGAATTTCACAACCTGGGTAATGAAAATCACAACATTGTTCAGGGAAATTGCAACTATAGTAATGACATTTACCACTATGGTTTCCTCATTTTGCATCCCCATGTTCAGGAAATTGTCCCATTTCCGGTTCCCCCAACTCAACCCACCCACGCATCAAATTGTTCAGGAAATTTTACTACCCCCGTAATGATACTGACAACATGGGTAATGTTAATTGCAACTTCAGTAACGATATTTACCAGTCTGCTTTCCCATTTCCGGTTCCCCCAACTCAAACCCACGCATCAAATTGTTCAGGAAATTTTACTACCCCCCGTAATGATACTACAACATGGGTAATGTTATTGCAACTTCAGTAACGATATTTACCAGTCTGCTTTTCCCATTTCCGGTTCCCCCAACTCAAACCCACGCATCAAATTGTTCAGGAAATTTTACTACCCCCCGTAATGATACTGACAACATGGGTAATGTTAATTGCAACTTCAATAACGACATTTACCAGTCTGCTTTTCCTATTTCCGGTTCCCTTAACTGAGACCCACAATCAAATTCTTCAGGAAATTGTACTACCCTCGTAATGATAATGACAACATTGGAAATGTTAATTGCAACTTCAATAATGACATTTACCAGTCTGCTTTTCCCATTTCTGGTTCCTTTAAGTCAAACCCACACATCAAATTGTTCAGGAAATTTTACTACCCCCGTAATGATAATGACAACATTGGAAATATTAAATGCTACTTCAATAATGACATTTACCAGTCTGCTTTTCCTATTTCCGGTTGCTTTGAGTCAAACCCACGCATCAAATTGTTCAAGAAATTTTACTACCCCCGTAATGATAATGACAACATTGGAAATATTAAATGCAACTTTAGTGATGATATTTACCACTCTGCTTTTTCCACTTCCACTTCCTTTATTTCAAAGTCAAGTAACATATTTTCAGGGAGTTTCACTAGCCTGGAAATGATAATAACAACATTGGTAATGTGAATAACAACATCGTTGATGACATTAACCACTCCAGTCATACCCATTGGCAACTTCCACCATCTCCCTTGAGGGCATTAAACAAAAGGTCATCTGTGTTGCCAAAATAGCATAGAAGTACACAAAGACAAAAGAGCATCATAGGATGTCTACATTAACATTCAGACTTTACTACATGTGTAATGGAATTTACCACTGAAGTGACAATATTTACCAAAAACCAGTAGGCCCATCACAGAAGGTACATAACTTATATTCAAATGACAAGTTAACAGTAAGATTAACCCACCACCTAATGTTTCCTCGTCATTCACATTACAAAACATATCCTACCTAGTGAATATCATTTACAAAAAGGATAGCCTACCCATCATACATTTTTACATTAACATTCAGACTTTACTATATCTGTAAAGGAATTGACCACTGACATGATAATATTTACTAAAAACCAGTAGGCCCATGACAGAAGCTACATAACTGATATCCAAATGACAAGTTAATATTAGGATTAACCCACAGCCTAATGTTTTCTTGTCATTCAGATTACAGAACATCTCCTACCCAGTTAACATCATTAACAAAAAAGATAGCCTACCTATCAACCCTTTTCCTAAAAAAATTAAAAAGGGTTCAAGAGTCATTCCTTTCCTATAACAAAAAAATTACCCCTGTTGGTATTGACATGAAACCTTAAGTTGGGTTTGGATTCTTGCATGTTCTTCTTGTGTGGCCAAC